GTTTTGATAATTTTTTTATAGAATTTAAATCAATAGTGGCAGTGCTATAAATATCTCTGAGGATGGTAAGTCGTGTAACAAACAGACATTGTCAACACAGACTTAAACATCTAAAAAGTGAAATGACGTGTTCCCATGTTCAAAAATAGTAACTTATTCAATATACATTTCAGACAGATGTAAAAGTGTAAACTTTCTATTTCTGTCATCCTCAGAAAATAATTGCCATCCTCAGAACTGTAAATCTGTTTAAAACACAAGTTAATATCAAAATGAAACAATCATATTAAAATATACACAATATGATTAACTTTGTTATTATAATAAATTTGAATAATTGCATAAATTACAAAATTATTAATAAATTTGTTATTTTAAAAATACATTTTTAGAAAATCAGTGTTTTCGACTTTTTCAATTTTCATTTTGATAAAAAAACAATTTTCAATTTAAATGTATATTTCAATTATTATGTTATAAAGACAGATTGGGAAATAATTTCAATAAGTATATAATCATAATATGAACAAGTTTAATTCATGTTTTGTTATTTCCCGTCTCAAGTTCGCGAGATATAATTATTGTTTTTGTTTACTGATTATTGTGGCGATTTTTTGATTGTATTTATTTTTTTGGCATTTATGACAAATTATTACCATTATTTAAAATTCGAACTTTGACTCGAAATATTAAGTGTAAATTATAACTTGAGTTATGAAAGTGGGCCTTATGGGGAACTGAACCTTATGGATTTGATTTTTGTATCCTCAGAAAAATATTTTTTAATAAAGATAGCTTTAATCCTGAGGATACACCTTATCCTCAAGAAACCCTTAACAACTGTGATTTGTAATTATTTCCGATTGCTCCCTAAACCATCAATGAATTGTTGTGTTTTGGAAGTGTTAAAAACATTGATTTAAAAATCTTATTGTTCTTTTTAATAAGTAAAGTTTGATTTACAATATTAAATGAATTCATTCTGTTATATCTCATTTTCCTGCTTTTGTGATACCAACAGTTTCCATTGTCAGAAAACAATTCAAATCTCGACTCATCACTTATAATAGCCTCTTTCTATTTTTATAATTTTTTAGTACCGCCTTTTTACAAAAATTTAATCTTTTATTAATGTTAACTTTTGTTAAAAATGGAGATTTCTTTAGTTTGCCATATTTAAACCCGTTTATTTTTCTGTATCTTTGAATTGTTGATTTTGATACATTTATACATTTAGCCAAATCACAACACGTTGATTCTGGATTAATACAAGTTTTTTTTTGATCAAAGTTATTGTTTTTTGTTGTTTCATAATTGAAGGTCTGCCTAAGTTTTTTGAAATTAACTCTTCATTGTTTTCAATTTTCTTTTTGTTATAAGAAACTCTGTTTGGTGATACATGAAGTGTTTTGGTAATAAAAGAAAATGATTTCCCTTCTCTTTATAAATTAACAATGAGCTTATCTGTTTTATTGATAACAGACATGTAATCATTTTTAAAGATTATAAGTTAAAATATTGCAATTAATTAATATTAATTTGTTTTCAATGTGATTTTTGTTGAAATTAAAAAAATAAGTTTTACAAAAGTCAATATTGTTTATTTATGTAAATGTTTTTTTATCCTATTAAAATAGTTTATTTTTGACAAATTTTTAATTGAATTGTTTCAAATCTAAAATAACATGAATTGGGTTTTAATGAAATGCATTTATGATATTTTTTATTTGAAACAACTCAAGATTATTTCTTATGTAAATTTGAGCAACTTTTGTTTGAAAAAAGGTGTATTTTTATTTTTTATGTGTAAATTTAAGCCACTTTTTCCTCAAATTTTTGTTAGATCCAAAAAAGAGGATAAAAGTATAGTAAGATAAAACCCGACATATTACCAAAAAATAAAATAAATACACTATCGATTTTTGAATTTTAGTTTACAATGAAACAGTGATTACTTAATGGTTTGAACAAGTTAAATTATATATTATGTTCTAACACATAATGTAATGACAATATTTTAATTTTACTTCAATACAATGACATTTTCCTATTATTTATTTATACATTCAGTAAAATTTTTTTCTCAAAAACTTATTTGTTTTATTTTTCTTTGGTTTTTGGTTTAAATAATTAAATTTTTCTTATTTGTTTTTTCTGGCTATTATTTGTTTTTCAAAACACTTTTGGTCTTATTATTTGAAGAACGGAATAAAGAGCAGTTTTGAGCATATTATTCAAAAACATTCCCAAAACAGCATATTTTTTATTTTTTATGATTATTTTCCTTTAAATTGAACAAAAAAAATTCTTTTGTGAATAGGATTTCTTATTTTATCCAAAAAGATAAAATGACAATATTTCTTTTTCAAAAAACGATTATTTAATTGAGGTTTGCAGCCCTGAATATAAATAAATAATTACTAAAGTAATTATTATTTAGACTTGGATGAATAAATCATTGTTCATTAATAAAATTTGATAGTTAAAATATTATAATAATATGGTTCTATATTTAAAAGTGTAATTTAAAGAAATTAAAAACTCTTTCATTCTAACATGTCAACACTCTACTGTTGTAATATCATTAAAGTTGCAAATTACTTTACTTCTTATTTGGACTATCTCAATTTGGAAATGGTATGCCATAAATTTAGAGGGTTCTATGTGAACACCAAAATTAATCCTCTTCCTAATGATTATAAAATGGTCAAATTATTTGATAATCTAAGACTTAATACATTACAAGGTGACAGTTATATTCAAAGTATTAATTCGCCAGTTGGAATAACAAATTCAGAAAAAATACCATTTCAAAAGTTAGAAATGGTTAAATTTAATCCATTTGAATATACTCTAAATGATTGTAACAACAAAATCTTTATAACTCGGAATATCACAGTGATAGGAGAGAATTGTTTTAAGAATATTAAAACACTTTTATTGGTCACTTACTCATCACCACAAACGACTACATCAGATTATGAAAAGATGGATTTTAATTGTTTGAAATATATTTTGTTGCCAAACAACGTTTCAGTAATAAAAAATTGCTGTTTTCGTGAATGTGAATATCTGAGAGAAGTAGACTTACCAAAAAGTTTATTAACAATTGGGGACTTTTGTTTCGAAAATTGTTACGAGCTTTCTTCTATAACATTTGGTCTAAAAGTTACTTCTCTTGGTAAAAGTGCATTTCATAATTGTAAAAAATTGATACAATTGAATTTGCCCAAATCACTTAATGTTATAGAAAGCTCATGCTTCATTGGTTGTGATGGTTTGGATACCCTTGTAATTCCTCAGAGCGTCAAAGAAATTCGGGAGAGTTGCTTCAAAAAATGTAGTCAACTTTCTTTTGTGTATTTACCTGAAGGAACTACAAAAATAGAAAAAGAGGCATTTAGAAATTGTAAATCACTCAAATATGTTGTTATTGAAAACATGCAAATGGAAATCGGCAATAAAGCGTTTTCTGATTGTCACAACGACTTTGTATTAAAAAACAAGTTAACAAAATTAATAAAATCATTGAAACGATACAACCGAAAAATATATACTTTTGGTTCTTCTGAAGTGGACAGTATTTATGAAAAAATCAAAAGATGTCGAAGACTACATCCACCCCCAAAAGTAGTTTCACACGATTTCCAAATTAATGGCAACAAAAACATACCTTTTTAAAAATTCAACACAACAAAAAATATGGAAAAAATTCAAACACCAAACACAATCAACATTAACACACGCTTGATATATGGAGAACAGAATGAAACTCGAATTTTGAAAAATGTTACAACTGACAAAAATATTTATCAAAATATCGTTTTTGAAATCCAACCGAAACAACCTGTGAATTGGTGCCAAAAAGAGGACATGGGAATTTAAAAAGATTCTTTAAATGTAAAAACATTTGATTCATATTCTTCTCAGGTTGTTCAGAATAAAAATGAAAATATAACACACGAAAAGGTTGACAGTAATACAAAACAACAATTATTTAATCTCGATTTAAACGTGGAACTGACAGATAGTTCGGATGAGATATATCAAAATACAAATGACAAACAAAAACAATTTGAGAGTCAAAGCCAAAGAACTTTCTTTGATAAATATAAAGATCTTTTAGAACATCAAAATGATGATGAAAAAATAAAAAAATTGAATGATCGAATGTCACAAATGTACCAAATTGACAATCTTCCTGATAACTATTTAAATGGAAATTCATTCATTGAAAATGTGACAGTTCCAACAAAAATCACACGGTTTGGTAAGTCGATATTTGAGAGGTGCAATTGTCTTAAAGAAGTTTTAATCGATGCGAATATTATTACTCTTCCACAAAACACTTTTTCATTGTGTTTAAAACTTTGTTCTATTCGACTTCCAAATTCTATCACTTCACTTGGCGACTTCTGTTTCTCTTTTTGCGTCTCTTTGACTCAAATCAATCTTCCTCTTGGTTTAAAAGAAATCGGAGAAAATTGCTTTGAAGAGTGCCAATCACTTAAAACCATTGAAATACCAAAAGAAGTTCGACTGTTGAAAAAATCGACTTTTTTCAAATGTGTTAGTCTTGAAAAAGTGGATTTTGGTGGTCAAATTAAAGAAGTGGGAGTGTCTTGTTTTTCAGAATGCAAATCACTTCAAGGTATCAATATGAATGAAATTACTTGTATACCAAAATATTGTTTTCATAATTGTTATGGTCTTGAAAAGATAAACATGAAGAATTGCAAAGAAATTGGAGCGAGTGCTTTTGAAAATTGCTTGAGACTTGTATTGAAAATACAAGAAAAAGACGTGATTTTAAAGGAAAATTGTTTCAAAAATTGTTTAAATGTAACCATGGTTGCTGAAAATAAGAAAGTAAGTGATTTCAGTGTTGAGGTGATTTCTTGTGACGATTATAATTAATTTCAATTTTTATATTTGTTGTTTATAGAAATACAAAAGATAAATAATATTTTTCATATTTTTATTCGTGGTTTTTGATATTTGTAAAGACTTGTTACAATAAAAGGTATAAAATTTTTAAATAAACACATGTTTTAAATATATGTAAATATATGTTAATGATAATAAAAACAAAAATTAAAAATTATTTATCTAATGAAGTAAATAAAAAAGATATTATAATGATACGTAGTTATACAAAACAATCAAAGATATAGACTTTCAAAATACATTAAATATCATTTAAAACATTGAAAGTTGATGATATAAAAAATTAAAACTTTTTTAATTGGTAACTAATTTTAAATAAATAAAAAATTGCAGTCACTGTATATAACCAATCTGTGTAAAGTGCTTTTTACTTATTCAAACAAAGCTTTCATTTATTAATTTATTTTCGAATTTGTTTATTTGTATTAATATGTTTGAAAGATATATAAAAAATAAATAAAAGCAAATAACTGTAAGTTTTCAATATTATTTTTTCTTATAAATAAATAAATAAAATTTAATTATATTTGAACTATCTTGGATTGTTTTTTCCTTTATTTATCAAACATAATATAATGATTAACAAGTATGGTTTTGTAAGAAATAAAAATGATTCAACTCAATATAATTTCAACTTAAAAAATTGAAATGGAAGACATTGATTATAATACCAACTATTATTACCCACCCAAAATACGTAATGAAACCCTATTCAAACATTATTCATTAAATTCACACACATCTTTACGGGATTCTCTTCTTCGTTTAAAAGAGGAAGACGAAATGGGAAAATATGAATTAATTCGCCACAGACTTGGTTTGTTTTTGAATGATGGTGTTGATTTGTTTCATGTCAGTGGCCACTATTGCACTGAGAGGACATGTAGTGATATGCGAGTTGGTACCGAAGGGGAATACATGTGGGTAGATAATGGCAAATACTTAACACTCCCAGCTTCTCAGTATACACAAAATGCTCTCAATTGGGTTTCTGAGACATTAAAAAACAATGAATTGTATCCCACTGTGGAGGACAACACACCAAAGGATGCCTTGTTATTTATATACAATAAAATTTTAATACGACTGAGCAGAATACTTGGACATTATATCACTTTACACCCAGAAGCTGATGATGATAAGGAAGTGGATGAAAAGACGGGAAAGACTAAACATGATTATTTAATGAAGATGGCTGAGGACTTTTTGGAAATGGTCAAATTTGCAAAAGAAAACAAGTTTTGGAATGCTTACAAAAACATTTTAATTCCTTCCGTCACATCAGAATACATCAAAAAGTGGCAAACTGATTTGTAACTGGAAATTAATGGGACAAATGGAAAGAAGACTTAAATTATTCGTTACTAATAAAAATATTATAATTTTGTTATATAAAAAAAAGAGTTATTTATAGTTATAAGTATTATTAATTATAAAATAATCTTTTATTTTTATTTTCATTTTAATTAAATTATTTATTAATTTTATAATTATTAAAACACATATTTTTGTATTCGTGAAAAAACAAAATTTAAGGCCTCTGCGGGAGTCGAACCCACGACCTTTTCCTTACTAGGGAAACACACTGCCAACTATGCTAAGAGGACTTATTAAAATAAAATATAATAATTAGTATTTGAATTTACGAATTGAATAACTAATAATAAAAATGAATTAGTTTAAAATAACTACTTTGTTTGAAGTGATTCAATATTTTTTTATTAATTTATATTTTTTCAACATTTATAATATAACAATATAACATCATTACAACAAAATTAATTTATTGGTTCAAACTTATTTGACGCCTTTCAGTAATTTAGTAAATCTTCAAAACAACTCGTTGTTAGATATAATAACGTTTACATTATTTTTAAACGATAAATATAAAAAATTTTTCTTTTTTATTTATTTTTTTCAAAAATTTTAATTTTTGTAATAAAATATATGGTGATTTTAAATAAAAAAGTACTGCATTATTACAATTGATTAATATATGTTTTATGTACGATTGTTTTCATGTTTCACAAGCATGAACTCTTTATGAACAACCCAATTGTATACAAGTTTAAAATATAAAAATATATATTTGACTTTATTCTTTACAAAACTGTAGTAGTATGAAACAATTGAATAAGATATGTAATATAATATTATATTATTTTACAACCAAATATTATGAGGTTTTTATTTCAAGTTTGTTACAGTTTCTAAAACTTCCCGATGCATTGCTTGTATTGATTACAAATTTATTTTTATTGTTAAATGTTTTGTTTTATTCTTCTGGACAACACAAGATAATATATTTAGTTATTTATTATAATTTATTATAATAGAATAATATTTTAATTAATGACATTTTACTAATATAACGAACTAACAACGTCCAAATTATTCAGCATGTTTAGAGAACATTAATATAGAATTTTTTATATAAAAACATTTATTATTTCGTTTTTATTGTTCTAAACCACTGTTTTCTGAATCAATTTATCAAAATAAATAGTTCATTAAAATAGTGACATTATTCCATTTAATAATTAAAAACTGCCTTCCAAAATCTTCTTCATATCTAGAGAACGATGTAACAAACAAATTTAGTCATTGTAATTCAATCAATCAAATAACCATTATTAATAAATGTACTTTATCGATATAATTTGTGATTGTTTTGCAATAAACCAATAATGATACACTCAATTTATGATACTTCTATTTTTCTTGGTTTGAACTATACTTTTTAGTGTAAAAATATAACAATAATACGTGTCATAGAGAATATAATCGTTTATAGAACCACTTAATCCATCAAACAATGTCAAAGCCAACATGTGAATGCTGTTGCAAATACGCCCAACATATGGAACACCCTGAACACGAAGGTGTTCTTTGTCCAGATTGCATCAAGACTGGAAAAGTGATCGCCGCAGACTATTATTGCAAATGTTACAACAATGCAATGAGATTCTATCTCCACGTTGATACAGATGGAAAAGTACTTGGTGCAAAGTATCAATTCTTTGGATGCAAGAAGTTTGCTGTTTTGGCCGATGTTTTGTGTGGACTTTGCATTGGTAAGACTGTCGAACAGTTGCTTACAATCACCAATTTGGACATAGAAAAGGAACTTCAAGAACCCAAGCTTCCAAAGGACAAGCTCTTTTCAACTTCATTCTTCTACACCATCATCAAGCGTGCGGTTTCACAGTACACCACAAAGAAGATCACTGACATTGAAAGTGAAGAGATTGTCTGTGGGTGTGGAAATATATCATTAACTACCATCAAGAATGCTATCAAAGAAAAGGACTTGAAGACAGTCGAAGAGATCACAAAGGAGACAAAGGCTGGCTCGTTCTGTGGATCTTGCCCAAAAGCTGGTGGAAAGTACTGCAAGAAGTATTACTTGGAAGACATCTTAAGAGAAACACGAGCTCAAATGGAGTGTCAGAAATGCTGTGAAAAGAGTTGTGAAAAGACCTGCGATCATATGACCTTCTTCCAAAAAGTAATGAAAATCAACGAAGTTTTCAATGAAAAGATCGGTAAAGAAGAGAAAGCTCACATTTACGATATCAAAGAGAATAGTGAGGCAGTTGCTGTGTTGATTCAAATTGAAGGCAAGTGTTGTGGATGCTGTGAGGAGAGTTTGAAGAAGAGAGACGAAATCCAAAAGGTACTCAGAGAAACTCTTTGCAAGCACATTGATGTCATGGTGGTTCCATGTTGCTGCCAAAAGTGAGTAACTCTGACTTCTTCATATTGTGTTGTGTTATAATAAATAACTATAAAAAATTTAATACGATTATATATAAAAATATCAAATGTATTAATTTTAAATTTAAAATAACTCAAATTTAAATATAATCAATGTGGCATATATCAAGTGATGAAATGTGATAAATGTTATTATTTTATTTTACAAAAAAATATAAATTGTTTTATAAATAATAAATAAATCAGTTACATTTGTTATTGTTTAATAATTTTAATTCAATTACAAAACCTCTTTATCGTTTTACTCAACCAATAAGGTATTTTTGTTTAAAATGCATGTATTTTACAACAAATATCGCAATTAATATAAAAACATAACAATATAACATGTAAATAAATTCAAATTTTTAATCTGTTCTTTAAAATGTTCTATTGTATAAATACCTCTTTAATAATATAACAACAATAGATACTTAAGTAAATTCTTAACAAATACAAGCAACTTAATTTTAAATTAAAACTGGAGTATCATGTCATACCAAACAACATTACCATGTGTTGACTTTGAAACGCCAGTTGACTTATACCCGAACTGTTCATAAAATCCTATAAGTTTGTCTTTGCACGTTAAAATGAGACCGAGTCTTCCATTTTCTTTGGCGTTCTTAATGAAGTGTCTCATCAGCTGCTGTGCCAACCCTCTGTGCTGAAATTCAGGTAAAACGTCGAGACCGAATATTGATTGATATTTCCCATCTTTTATGTGCATTGTTGTGTCGTCGAACATTTCGTCGCAAATTGTTGTTCGGTCAGTCACTGCGCCATTTATAAACCCAACTATTTTACCATTAATTTTTCCAACATAAAAAGAGTTTTTAAAAGTGTTTATTCTCGAGTTAAGACTCTCACGCGTTGCGGCTTCAAGAGGTGGAAAACACGTTTTTTCGATAGAGTAAATTTCATCCAAATCAGTTGGAAGAGCTTCACAAATTTCCATTTGGTTCTTTTAATATTTTTTAGATTAAAGTTTTTAGGTTATTTTATTGAATATTAAAAATAAATATTAAAAGAGATATTATTAAATGTGATAAACAGTTGATTATATTTTAAGAACATATTTATTAATCATTGTTGGTTTAAATATAACAACATGGAGATGTGTACATAATCACTTAAATTAATGATAAACAAATTGAAGTCAATAATTGTAACACATATCTAAATACTTTGTGATAATTTGTATACATACAAATTTGTCAAGAGCAGGAATGTATTGTAATTTTTGTATTAAATTGGAATTTACAACAAAAAACCTTTGAAACCACTGTTCATAGGCATTACTTTTAGCAGGTTTTACTGTTTTTTAATTGTGTTAATTTAACAATTTAATTAAAAATATCATTAATTCAAAAAAATATTTTTTTAATTTAAATAAACAATAAAATAAGTTTATTGTTGTTTATTTAAATATGATTATCTATCACAACACAAATTACTATTATGATGTTTTATTATCATGTTATATTGATTAAATAGTTGAATTAAAGTACAAATAAATGATCATAACAATAAAAATCATTGTTATAATATCAATATAAAATCAAGAATATATTTACACTTTTTAATATTTTCAATATCTTAACGTTTTTTATGTTTTTTAATCGTACAATTTTATATAATCCTAGAGTACAATGACAATATATAATTTTCAATTAACTACATTTATTAAAAATATTTTTGTTTTATTATATAAAAAAGAAATATAGTTTAATAATTCACAATCAATTGTGTTCATTAATGTTTAATTTTTTAAAAATAATTTTTATTTTATTTTTAATTTGATGTTCAATATTTTTTTAATGTAATCATTTGACTAATTATTATTAAAAAGCAGTCACTTGATTGTTTCATATTTGTAGCGAATATCTTAGTTCAAATTAATTTTTAAAAATTTAATAACTTATTAAAGAAAACTTGATGATTATAATTGGGTTATATTAATAAAAAAACACAATCAAAGTAACATATTTTAAATTGTTACTTGGAATAAGTTAGGTCAAACAATCATCTTATAAACAATTACTTTTATCGTACCAATTAAAATGTGTGTTGATTCTCATTAAAATTGCACATTAAAAATATAGTAAAAATTCCCTAACTTACTATCTAACTGAAATCAAAATTAAAACATTTACTCAATATGTTTATCAATTGAAAGTGATACTCTATTTGTTATTAAAGTTATTATGACTTAGAGTACAAACCTGTATTTTTACAATGTGTAACTGTTGGCCTCTCATTTTTTATAAAAAATTTCGGAGATTGTATCAAATTTTTTGAATGAACTTTAACAAAGTTATTGAAATATAATTTATGTTGATAATTGTGATGTACATAAATACTTTTATTAAATAAGTACAAACAAAAAATAAAAGTGTAAACTTTGAATATAACAATACAAAAAACTTTATTATTATTGTTTTTGTTACTATTATTTTTTATTAAAAAACAATAAGAAATAAACAATGTAACCAATCAATAATATCCAAGCGACTTTTTTCTTCATATCTCATATCTCTCCCTTTTCTTTCTGTAATACTCCGTATCATATTTATAATAATATATTATTATAAATAGAAGCGCTCATACCTCTATATTTTGTTGCTAGACTGTTATCCATGTTGCCGTATAAGCGCTATCAACTTATTTATTTAATCACTCATTTTTTCGGCAGTCTAATTTAATTTGTACAACAAAGAGGGACTCTTTTATATCAATAAAAGAGTCACAATGGCAATACACATTTCAAGAGGATATATTTTCGATTACACTGTTTGCCGACCCATTGTAAAAAATTACATTTTCTAGCCGGCGTTACGTTTGTTTACATGCTATTTGGTTAAGATGATCGATGTTTAAAAAAGAAGAAACAACCTTTATATTGATAATGGAAATAATATTTTGACCAAATGGAGATAGGCGTTCAGTTTGCTTTTAGTAAGGATAAAGACAAGAGAGAGTTTGGTGTTGGTGCTGTTTCTCATTTTTTGACGCCTTTGATAATGTGGATTTGTTATTGAATTTAATTCTTAGTATGTTGTAATGAAATCGAGTAACAATTCATTGAATGTATTAATATTACCACATGGAAAAGAGTATTTAGTGAATTCTATTGTTATTTTAATAGAGACACCACATATGTTGTTGGATTTAAATGTGTTTAGTTTCAATCATCAGTATCATCTGTAAGAGTTTGTGAAATATATTTACAAGCTTTGTGGTATTTAAGCTTGGATGATAATAAATGACCCCCATTTGGTCTAACACATAAATTGTCTGAGATAATTACAATGTAATTTTGATTTAGTGTCGCCATACTTTGATTGATGTGTTTGATATTCAAATTCTTGCTTTATATATTGTTTATTCCTTCTATTTTTAATTTTCGTGTTTATTAAACAATCAAAAATACAATAAATTATTAATATTCTGTTGGTATACAAGCAAAATGGATCTTTATATGTCATGTCATTTTATTTTAAGGTTTTTGATGATTTCAATGCTCATTAATTGTTCGATTTGTCTTTAAAAAAAAGAAAAACCAAACAACTCTTTTCGTATTTGTGTCGACTGTGTTGAATTTTAAAAAGCAAAACAACGCCGTAATGTCTCTCTTAAGTCATATATATTGTATTTTTAATCGAATAAGAATGTTAATGCACTTAAAATATAAAATAAAAGTGTTTTAAATATAAAACACTTTTCTTGTATTAAAAAGTTATTATAATGTTTGTATTGTTATAGCAATTGGATTGTTTTATTGGTTGTTCACAACCAAATTATTTATACTTTTTATAGTTATCAGTTGTTTTTTTTATTTTCAATTTAATAATCACCTGTTTTATTTGTTTTCAACTTATAAAAGAAACTGTTATTTGAAAAATCAGGAAATAAAAATAAAAAAATGTCTATCAAAATACAAAACAAAATAATAGTTTCAAATTTATTTTTATATTTTCTAGCAAAAAAAAACTATTAATTTGAAAAATCAACACTATCATTACAAATATTATAAGAAAAATGCTTTGTTGTATAAAATATTACAAAAAATAAATAACACCTTTTCGTATTTAAAAATATATTTTTATTATTAAAAACTAAAAATCTTGAACAACAAAAAGGTTTTAAAATTATAATTATATTATTAGATTCTACATTTAAAGTTATTTATACATTTATTTATGTTGATCAAAAGTAAAAAGGCAAACTATATTTGTGTAATATTATATTAGAATATTTGAATGACTAATTAGTGTTAAACTAAAAATTTGTAAAACATTTAAAAAAACTCGAAAATTTCTCAATTGTTTTAAATATTACATAAAACCAGAACTAAAAATACAACATATAAAATAAATAGCATTTTAATTATCATTACTTTAAGTATACTGATTCTTAATTATAATAATATGTATATGTGTTATAACAATCATAATTTTGAAATTGGAAAAATAAAAACAATTGTTAGATAATAAATTTTACATAAAGATAAAACTTTTTTATTATTATTTTTGATATTTGTTTTTTTATTTGCGAATAATTATAATTTATGATTGTTTTTTAAAAGATATTTTATAAAGAAAACCCACTAAAAAGATGTTTTACTGTATTTTGGATTGTAATTTCGTTTACTAATTTTGATAATTAATGCATTTTGAAACTTAATATTGTAAATGAATAATAAAAAGTACTGTTTGATTATATCATAAAATATTTTTTTTGAAAATGACTTAAATCAATAATTCGAACCACTTGTTTAAATAATTAATAATCATATTTATGTTATAATTGTATATAAACTGTTCAATATTAATACAATGATAATATCACAAAATTAAATGATATTGTTTTTAATATGTTGCTGTTCTATGTCCAACTAATATAATGAGTAAATATTGTATTTTTACTCAAAAAATACTTGGCTGCCAAACATTTGAATATGTATTTTTTATTTTTCAAAAATTGTACTATTAAAATCAGTTTTACACCATAAATATATTATTTATAATAAAGACTATTATAAAATCGTGGTACAACAAAATGAGTTGTATATGTAGTTTTATAGTATTTATCTGTATCTTTGGGTTTTATATATTTAAAAAATGAGTGTTTTCCTGACGGTTTGAAAATATTTTATTAGTTTAATTCAATTCCCGTTAATAAGTTTGTTTAGTACTAAAATTATTGATGTATTACATTTTTTAATAGTTTTCAATTAAGTCAACATTATTCATGTTAATTGGCACTGATGTTTGTTTTATTTTAACTTTTTAATAATTGTTTAATTGATCATCAT